ATCTCTATAGAGGAAAGCCTGACTGCGCAACAACAAACGCTCTTGTGGAATGATGAAAAATATTTACGTATTGCAACAGGAAAAAATACGTTGTCTCAGAGTTAATTGTTCGACGAATAGGCTGAAGAGCTTTCTTTTCCGGCTATTTATCTGGGCCAATTTCGCAATTTCCGTGAGGGTGTTGATGCGACACCATTTACAACAGCCTCCAGTGAATTAAAAGATCCGATCGACGTGTTGTTACGCCTCAGCATTTGTTTTACATGGCTATGAAAATTATGTGACTACGGGTTCGTGATTCACTCATTGTTGCATTTAAACACGTTGGCAAAGATACAAAGATCACTAGAAATCAAATCGAAAGTAAAGAGTATATCAATGGTTGTGTAGAATCCAATCTTGCTTTTTTGAGATCAGTTCCGAATTCGGCTTGGTACTGGATACACCGAAAAAAGACCGATTCGCAATGATCAGGCAACTTGGCAAACCAACGTTATTTCTTACTGTCAGTGCGAATGAAATTGGCTAAAAAAATTTGCTTCAAACTATTTAAAAATTGAAAAATAATGGTACATTTATATCTGAAGAACTTGTTGAAAAGCTGCACTACCTTGAAAAAACCACACTTATCAATGAAGATTCTGTGACTTGTGCGGTTTACTTCAACAAATTAGTAAACGTTTTAATGAATATTTTGATGTCACGGAAGAACAGCCCATTTGGTCAAAACTATGTCATGCATTATTTCAAAAGAATTGAGTTTCAACATAGAGGGATTCCTCATGCTCACATCCTGTTATGGCTAGCAAATGCCCCTTTTGATATCATCGGTGAAGACAAAGCAGATGCAATAAAATTGAATGATGAAATAATATCAGTATCTGAAAATGAGGCTTCAAATAATATAAAACTTCAAACACATAAACACACATTTACGTGCTATAAAAACATAATTGGACATAGACCTCAAAAGTGTAGATTTAAAGCTTCTTTTTTACCAAGTCGATCGACTATTATATTGTCGCCAATGCAAAATTCGGAGAAAGGATTCTCAACTTATGCCCAACGTTACCAAAATATGAGGACTAATCTCGAAAATAGTGTTTACCCTGATATTGATACGTTTTATAAAAAAAACAATATTACTTACGATGCAGATTATCACAAAATAATTCAAGCAGGGATAAAACGACTAAGAGTATTTTTAAAACGTCATCCAGCAGAAAAATGGCAAAATCCGTTTAACCCTTTTGTATTTCATGTCATGAAATCTAACATGGATATTTAATTTATTACCGATGAATATTACGCCAATTACGTATCTGAATACACGTAAATAAAACCAATAGAGGTATTAGTCATTTTCAACGACTAATTATTGAAACTATGGATGAACATCCAGAGTTTGATATTGTTGATGTAATAAGACGATTTGGTGTTCATATGCTCAACAGCGTAGAAATTTCAAGTCAAGAAGAAGCTGCATGGTATCTATTACGGGAACCCATGTCCAAAAGTTCAGTCTTTATTGTAACAATTCCAACAGTATGGCCTTCTGAACGACAACGCATAAGAAAAACTAATAAAGAACTAGAAAAAATGGACATCGATGGGACGAGCCACTCCCACCTGCCGTTTCCACGAGGTCCGATCCTTCCGATGAGGGCCCCGCGGATGCTTCAATTCCATTTCGTTGTCTTTCCATATTGATTTTGGCTGGTTTTTCTTTGGGTGTCCTTCCCGCAGGGTGAATGCCATGCAACTGCGGAGGGTTCGACCCTCCCTCCGCAGAGGTCCAATTTCCTTTTGGGCTAATAGGTTGCCCTTCAATGCTCCCCGAGGAGTTTATCCTCGAATGGTGGAAGGCTCCGTTAAGTCCCGTGTTGTCCACTGGCACCGCGTAGACGTCCTCGACTTGTCCGCAGGAGCGGACAGGCCGTGACGTCTGTGTGGTGCCAGGGGGGTCCTCGCGACCTCCGATGGTGGCGTACACACCATCGTTGTCCGTTTGGACCCCCGTTTCCATTTTCTCCGTGCCCTCCGGTGTTGCTGGGAGAGGCCTGGTCGCTGGGTCGGGTCGCAGCGACTTGACCGCTGCTTTAGTGCCGGCGAGTGCTACGGGGGCCGCCGCCACCGCCGCCGTGGGGACGCTGGGGGCAAACGTTTTAACCCCTGACCTCCAGTTGGCCAGACCGAGCTGGTGGTGTTTCCAGCTCGGGATCGGATCGGCCTGTTTAATTGTGGCCCCATTATTGCACAAAATAATTTACAAGTAAAAACTTGCGACTTACAATCGTCACTGCCGGTTCAATAATCCACCGATCTAAACGGTAGACCCCGCGTTGAAACGACGAGCGCGAGACGAATTTTTTAAGCCACCGCACGCACTGATCGGACTTAAAAAAGTTTCGATTACCACACTGCCGTGCGCGGGACACCAAAATAGTAGCAAAACACGATTTAACTGAACTTAAAATCAGCACCACGACTTTAATATTTACACGATTTCTTTGCCGAACCCCGCGTTGTAACGACAAAGCCAAGACGGATTTTTCGACACGTCAAACGCAAAAAACGGTCGAAAAAAATTCGCACAAAAACACTTAATGACACGGAGCGACCGGAGACATATGTGCTCTCGACGGCTGCTACAACGCGACTAACCTAACCTAACCTAACCTAACCTAACCTAACCTAACCTAACCTTTTTTTTTTTTTTTTTACAGTCAAAAGAATAATAGCGGCCCCCGAACTGCTTTCGCAAAACATAGGGGCCACTATCATTGTTTATTTATGAAAAAAAACAAACATTCACGATTTCACATTACATTTTTACAAAATAAAGCGGACCCTACTCCACTAATTTTGGCCATTCGGCCTACAACAAATTAACAATTCTAACTGAATACTAGTTATAGTAATTATAATATTCCTGCCTCCGCTTTTCTTCCGCTCCGCCTTGAAGAGGCCGCCAAGCGCTTCCTGTTTTCCTTCGCCCCGCCTTGTATAGGCCGCCGGGCCACCTATCAGCTGCCGTTTTTCCGTTTACTTCCCGTTTTAAGTTGTTTGTTGAGTATTCCTCGTCGATAACTGTTGTTGTCTTTCGGCATCGCATTTATGCCTCATCACTTTATTGCTGTAGTATACAATCAAATTCCATTGACTCCTGCACTCTAACATGGTGTCCACGATGTTGGCCGCTGTTAGATCGTGGCCTATCTCTCCAACGAGCACCCTTCGCCAGTTTTCGAATGCGTCACACACGAACAGTGTGTGATTGGCATCGTCGGTGTCAGCCTCATACCAGGAGCACTTTGGAGTTTCCGATTTTTTCATCCTATGTAGGTAGGCGTTAAAACATCCATGGTTCGTAAGAACTTGCGTGAGGAAGTGGTCCAAGTCGCCATGTTTCCTGTTTGCCCATTTTTCTATATTGCTGATTAGCGTGTACGTCCACCTGCCATTTTCCGCCTTTTCCCATTCTCTTTGCCATTCCTTCATTGTGTCCTTTCGGGCATCTCTGGCAGTCTGACATTTGTCTGTGACATTACGTATTGCTATGCGCTCCTTTGCTAGCAGTGTTATGGGAGGCATTGATGCTATGAGCGTTACTGCCTCATAGGATACTGTCCGATATGCCCTCGTCACTCTCAGCGCCATTAATCGCTGGGCGGACTTAATGTGTTTCGCTACATCCCCCTTAATCGGTACGGTGCTGTTTGGTCTATGATATAGTAGAGGCGACCATATCGGTGCAGCGTACAATATCTGGCTATGCACGACACTCGTTAGAAGCTTCCTCTTGGCTGTTGACGACCCGCCAATGTTTGGCAGGATTCTAGTCAATGCCTGTGCCGTTCTCATTGCCTTTGCCCCGACTTTCTGCTCGTGCACCTTAAATCTTCTCCCTACGTCTATTTCAATGCCTAGATACCTCAGCGAGTTCTTTGTAGCTATTTGCTGGCCTTCCAGTGTGAATATTGGCTTCCGATAATCCCTTTTTCTAGTCAGCATGACTGCTTCTGTCTTCTGGAGTGCTAGTCTCAGTTTTTGGGTGTTCATCCAATCTTGGACCATCTGCAGAGTTCTGTTGACTGATTCCTCGAGTTGTTGGGTACTCATAGCTCTGCCGACTATTGCTACATCGTCTGCAAACCCGACTAAGGTTACCCCGTCTGGTGTTTCTTTTGTAAGAAGACCATCATACATAATACCCCAAAGAAGGGGACCTAAGACCGACCCTTGCGGGACTCCACTTGACAGTTGTACAGTTGTTTGGTCGTCGCCATATGTTATTTCCCTGTCACATATATAATTCCGTACTGTGCGTATAAGGTATCCTGGTACTTTTTTGTTTTCCATTGCTCGGATTATTGCGTTCCATGATGCTGAATTAAAAGCATTGGCGACATCAAGCGTAACCAGTACACATAGCTCCCTCTTGTATATGGTTCCTGTCCCGGCATCTGCCACCTCAGTTATAACCCTTTCGATGGCATCGATCGTCGACCGTCCTTTTCTGAATCCATATTGGTTATTAGCAAGATTGGTTCTTTCATTGACCAGAGCTTCTTCAATGCGGTTACATAGTATACGCTCGAATAACTTACCCGTTGTGTCCAGCATACAGAGCGGTCGATAGCTTAGCCTAACCTAACCTACCTTTTTTTTTTTTTTTTTGCAGTCAAAAGAATAATAGCGGCCCCCGAACTGCTTTCGCAAAACATAGGGGCCACTATCATTGAACCTAACCTACCTAACCTTTTTTTTTTTTTTTTTTTTTTTGGCGTGTGCTCTCCATAACCAACTGGGGGGAACTTTGCCTTACGGTAATCCTACCCCCAGAAGGCCGGAAGCCGTTTATTAAACAACTTACAAAACAGCGTTGGACAGTGGCGGGCCAATCTCCCACTCACTAGTCCTCACAATATTAATTTACACAGTAAAGGGGCTCTGTCCCCTCAAATTGCCCTTCGGGCCACAACAAAACTACTTAACTACTAATTATTTGCTGGAACCCGCTGACGTTGACGTTCTTCTTCCTCTCTTATTTTTAGGACGTTGACCACGTAGCAGCACACTGCATCCCATTTTTCCCTGCTTTCGAGCATCGTCTTCACCGCTGTTTCCGGAGTAAATTCTTTGCCCGTTTTCACTTCAAGTTCTCTGCGTAGTCTCCACCACCGATCACATTCAAAGAACGCGTGCTCTGCATCATCAGTGGGATTCAGACAATCGTGGCATTCAGAGACGTCGCGCTTCTTGAACCTCCACAAATATTCGCCGAAACACCCGTGTCCAGTCAGAAACTGGGTGATGTGGTAGTTTATTGTACCAAACGATCTCGACACCCATGGTCTCACATCAGGAATTAGCCGCCGTGTCCATCCTCCAGTACCGGTGTTTTGCACCCATTCACTTTGCCACTTGTTCATAGAGTCCTTTCTCAGCTCTCGCTTGGTCGGTAGAGTTGAACCCGCCTTCTTCGCCACGTGGACAGCATTTCTCTCCGATACCATGATGTGCAGAGGTAGCATACCTGCCACCACCAAGATGGCGTTCGTTGATACCGTCTTGTACGCGCACGCCACACTTTTGGCCATCAGCCGCTGCGGTTTCAACATCTCCTTTTTGTTGACTTCAAAAACTAGTGCAGACGCCCATATGGGTGCTGCGTATAGCATCTGGCTCTGCTCGACTGACATTAGTAGTTGTCGTTTCTTTTGCCTTGGACCGCCGATGTTCGGCATTATTCTTGACAGCGAGGCAATTGTTGTTGTTGCCTTGGCCGCCGCGCACTCCAAGTGCTTTCTGAAGCCCAGTTTTCTACACATCTCCACTCCTAGGTAGCGCACGTGCTCTTTCAGTTGCAGCATTTCACCTTCCAGGTAGAATCTAGGCTGCGTGTACCCGCGTTTGGTAGTCAGCATTATCGCTTCGGTCTTGCTCACCGACAACGTAAGACCTGTCTTCGACATCCATCTTGACACCGCGTCCAGAGATGGGTTCATGGATTCTTCCAGGAGAGCTGTTGTATGCCCTGCCGCCACCACTGCGACATCGTCAGCAAACGCTATGAGGCTAGAACTCGACATTCCTCGGATGTTACTTGGCATCGCGATGCGCAGCAAATCATCGTACATCATGATCCATAAGATTGGTCCGAGCACCGATCCCTGGGGAACCCCGCTGGTTACTGCACGCCGTGTCGTGTCTCCGTATAATATTGCCCTCTCGCTCAGGTAGCTTCTCAAGATGCACACCAGGTATTCAGGCACTTCCTTTTTTAACAAGGCATCTTCGATATTTGCCCATGGGGTCGAATTAAACGCGTTCGCCACGTCAAGGCATACCATGGCACACAACTCCCTCTTGTACAGCGGACTTGTTCCTGCTTTATTCACCACTTCCATTGCCTTTTCTATCGCGTCTACCGTGGAGCGCCCTTTCTCGAAGCCGAATTGGCGGTCGCTTAACCCGCTAGTCTCTTCTAAGTGCGCCTCCAGTCTCTTTTTAATTACTCTTTCGAGGAGTTTGCCGATGGTGTTGATCAAGCAAATCGGCCGGTACGACGACGGCAATTCCAATGGTTTCTTACCCTTTGGTAATAGCACCAGCGTGGCTTCCTTCCATGGTTTCGGGAAGTGGCCCTGTGACAGACACCTGTTGAGCGTGTCCAATATTAGCTCTGGTTTTTTCGTTATTATCCTCTTTAAGATGATATCCGGGACTCCATCCGGCCCCGGGGCCTTATTCGTAGGAAGTCTTGCACCAATCGACGCTAGTTCCGCGAAAGTTATCAACGGGACTTCCCCTGTCGGTCGCGAGACAGGCCAGATGGGGGGCTGATGCATCGGGAACAGAGTATCAACTATGCTTTCTAGTCGTCCAGGTATTGTTATCCCTGTAATGGGTCTCCGTCCTACAAGCTTCTTTGTGACCAGCTTGTAGGGAGTACCCCAGGGGTCGGTCTCTACCTGGTTGCATAGTTCGCGCCAGCTGTTGTCTTTGCTCTTCTTGATTTCCGTCTTGAGGTTCCTCTTCAGAAGCCTATACTCTTCGACACTTGTGGCGCAATCCTCGTGCCGTGCCCTAGACCTCCGCAGCTTCCTCCTTAGACGCATGCACTCCTTTCTGAGTTCGGCGATAGTCTGTGTCCACCAATAGCACGGTTTTTTCCCCCATTTGTAAGACGCTTTCGGCATACAGCTGTTGCACGCATCTATCAACATTCCAGATAATTCCAAAGAGCTGGTTACTGCACATATCGTCTGTGGTACCCTTGTCTCCGAAACGAACGAATCCAATTTATCAGTGTCCAATTTCCTCCATGACCACCCGCTCCTTCCGGGTTGAGTAGTCTTCTCCGTCTTTTTCAAGCTGTAGAACACATACTGGTGGTCGCTCATTGACTCTTCCTCTAGCACCTCCCATGTTCCAAGTTTTCTGATGATGCCCGGTGTCGCAAAAGTTAGGTCTAGGAATGAGTTCCCGCGTGGGAAAGTCGGTGTCCTGCCGTCGTTTAGAATAACGAGATTTAGAGACTCCGCCGTGTCCAGTAGAGCTTCCCCTCTCCGATCCCTTCTGCTCGAGCCCCATACTTGGGAGTGCGCGTTAAAGTCTCCGGAGACAATTACTTCTGTCGTGGCTTCTCTGGCACTACTATGTAGTTGCTCTAAGAAGTCATCGAATTCATCGGGTCTGCAATTTGGTGAGATATAACAGCTGTATACTCTTAGTGTCTCCAATTCAGCCCATGCAATACCTATGTCAAAGCCGGTTCTCAATACTTGTAGATTTGGTTGGAGATACAGGGCGCATTTCCCATCAGTACTTCCTACCCATCCCGGGTGGTCAGGTATGCTGTTTGGTTCACTTATGCACAGAACGTCCGCTTCCTTCTCCTTAAGTGTGTGGAGGGCCAACGCTTGGGCCTCCCTGCTCCTATTTGTGTTTATTTGGAGAAAAACAGCCATGTTACCGGGAGGATAGATCTGCACTCCTCGAGGCACTTGCCGACGATATAGCTACTGACTCCTTCTCAAGTATTTTGCCGAAAGCCTCCGCTTCCGACACAGCCGCATTGCAATCTTTTGCAAAGTGACTTTGGCTTCCACATCGCTTGCACCATTTGCTCCTGTCGGGGCCGTCGCAATCCTTGGACGTATGTCCAAACGATAAGCAGCGGAAACACCGAGCTCTGCTGACGCCCTGTCTGACCCTGCAGTTGACCATTCCGACTCGTATACGGCCCTGTAGCAGCACATTGCGACACAATGCCGTAGGGGCTATAACGAGAGCAGTCTGAGTACCACCATAGCGCTTCCTTAGACCAATCGTCTTCACAGCATCTCGGTTGGCACCCGTTGCCATCACCACCGCTTCAATCACCTCTTCTTGGCTTGCCCACTGATCCAGGTCCCTGATCTCCAGCAGCGCCTTTTGTTGAAGAGTTCGCACTTCGATGTCTTTTCCAGCGGACCTCGATACCTCAGCCCGAACTGCTTCTACTTGCTCTGGATCACCTTTGATCTCTATCAGAAGGTCTCCAGATTTCGTCTGTCTCATCCCCACTACGTGGTCACCAATGACCTCTCGGTTCGTTGTTCCACGGATTTTGTGGACAAGCGCCGGGAATTCCTCCTTGCCAACTTGGACCAAAATTGTGGGTGGCCGCGTTCTTACTCGTTGCTGCCTAGCAGCCGGTGGCGGGCACGTAGCTGGCCCTGATGCTGGTATCACGTCAGCGACGTTCTTGCTTATAGATTTCGTATTAGGTGGTTTTCTCCTGGCCACCTCGGTCCAGGTTCCACTTTCCTCCTTACTGTTACTCAGCCCTTGAGCATCCCTTATTTCCTTGACTTCTTTCCTCAGTTCGTTTAGCCCTTGGGCGATGCCCCTAAGCGTAGAGTCGGTGCTGCTGCTGTTTTCAAATGCAGCTTCTTGGACCTGCATAGTTGAAGTCCCTGGTGCGACTGTCTTGCGCCGCTCATCATCAACCTTGGTCAACCAAATATTCCTTGCTTCCTGCTGTTCTTCACGTGCCGCTTTGGCATGCTTATAGGCATCAATAGCTTCTGCCAGTGCCTGCTGCACAGGTTTGGCCACGTTTTTTGCCAATTTCACCGCGTCTAGCATGGTTTGTAACCTCCTGCCCACTCGTTCGAAGTAGCCGCTCTCCGTTTTTTCTAAGGTCTCCATATTCTTGAATAGTTCGGCCGCATTTGCCGATGTGTTGGCGGTGCCCTTTTTGGGATGCTTCTGGCTAGCCACTAGTTTTTCCGCCAGTGTTGACCTCTGTCGGTTTTCCGAACATATCTCGATCTGGTCCTCTTCGCCAGCGGCCAGATCAACTGTAGGCTGTTCACCAGGGACACCCGAGGGGTCCATGGCACGGGGGAGGTCCGGTTAGGTTTTTTTTTCTGCATCCATAGAAAACTGACACATGGAAAGAGAATTGGTTTGATAAGTATAAAAAAAGGCACGAAGAATTGGAAGAAATTGGCTCAATTTGTGGCAAACTATACAATTCGCTCAGATAGTTTGTATACAAAAAGGAAACAGCCTCGCATTATTCGTTTAAGAAATTATGACATGACTCAAGATATATACAAGTATAAAACCATACATTTTCTTTATTGCGCGCTCGTTGCAAGGCTGAGTCAAAACGTTTGTACAGAGATTATATGCATACCTTACAGAACAAATTGCGTACTAATCCACGTTCGTTTTGGTCTTTTGTTAGTAGCCGCCAGAAAGGTCACGCCATTCCTGAAGAAGTACACTTGGATGCTGTCAAGGCTTCGGGCAATCAAATAGCTACTTTATTTGCCTCCTATTTTTCATCTGTATATAAAGCACCTACTATCGTCCCTAAAACCCTATTAAATGAGTTTACTCCAAATCAATTTTTCTTCCTTCCGTCCTCTTTATCTATATCCATTGGCGAGGTAAACGCTGCTCTTAGCTCATTGGCTACCACTCACGGTTCAGGGCCTGATGGAATTGCTGCTCAATTCTTATATCGTTGTCGCAATATTCTTTGTTTACCTGTCTGTTTGATTTTTAATAAGTCGCTTTCTGAGGGTGTTTTTCCATCAGTTTGGAAAGTTAGTCGAATCACACCAATTTTAAAATCGGGTGAGCCGACTAACATTAGAAACTATCGGCCCATTTCTGGGTTGCCCTTTTTAGGTAAAATATTTGAATTAATTGTGCTAAAAAACATTGACCGACCTCTTTTGTCAACTATTTCAATTGATCAACACGGGTTTATCCCGGGTCGCTCAACAACTACTAGCGCAGTCGATTTAACCTCCTTCGTTCACGAGGCGTTTGAGTTAAAGCAACAGGTTGACGTCATCTATACTGATTTTAATAAAGCATTTGATTCTATCGACCATCGTTCTTTGATATATGTTCTGGATCGTCTTGGAGTTGGTGAACCACTTCTTTCATGGTTGAGATCTTACCTTATGGAGCGCAGACTGTTCGTTAATCTTATTGGAAATGCATCAGATTATTTTCAAGCGCTGTC